GTCGCCATGCCGTTGCCATGCCGTCACCATGCCGTCGCCATGTCGCTGCCATGCCGTTGCCATGCCGCCGCCATGCCGTTGCCATGCCGTGGCCATGACATTGCCATGCCTTTGCCATGCCGTTGCCACTCCGTTGCCGTGCCGGTGCCGTGCCGACGCCATGCCATTGCCATGCCGTTGCCATGCCGTTGCCAGGCCCTTGCCATGCCGTTGCCATGCCGTGCCGTGCCGTTGCCATGCCATTGCCATGCCGTTGCCATGCCCGTTGCCAGGCCGTGCCGTGCCGCCATGCGTTGCCATGCCGTGTGCCGTGCCTGCCGTTGCCATGCCGTGCCATGCCATGCCGCCGTTGCCATGCCAGCCCGGTGCCGTGTCGCTGCCTGCCGTTGCCAGGCCCTTGCCCATGCCGTTGCCAGCCGTGGCCCATGCCGTTGCCATGCCGTCGCCATGCCGTTGCCATGCTTTTGCCACGCCGTGGCCATGCCGTTGCCATGCCGTTGCCATGCCGTCGCCATGCCGTTGCCATCCCGTTGTGTTGTCGTCGTCGTCGTCGTCGGAAGCTTCGTCAGCAATCGTCGTCGTCGGAGTCGAAATAGTCGGAGTAGTCGTCGTCGTCGGAGTCGTCGTCGTCGGAGTCGGAGTCGGAGTCGTCGCCGCCGCCGCCGCCGCCGTCGTGGTCGTCGTCGTCGTCGTCGGAGTGCATAGTCGTCGTAGTCGTCGTCGGAGTCGTCGTCGGAGTCGGAGTCGCCATTGTCGTCGTCGTCGCCATCGTCGTTGCCGGCGTCGTCGTCTCGGAGTTCTCGCAGCCGCCCCTGACGTCGTCGGCGTCCGAGTCGCCGGCGCCGCCGTCGTCGTCTTCGTCGTCGGAGTCGGAGTCGCCGTCAGGTGTTGTTGCCGTTCTCGTCGGAACTGGCGCAAGTGGCGCCACTGGCGCCGGCGCAACTGACGCAACTAGCTCAAGTGGCGCAACTGGCGCAACGGCCGCAACGGCCGCAACTGGCGCAACGAGCGCAACTTGCGCAACTGGCGCAATTGGCCCAACTGGCGCGACGGGGCCGCACGAGGGGAAGCTTCACCCCAACTTGGTGGGCGAGAGGCAAGCGGAGAGCCTGGCCCGCCGCGTGCAGGAAGCCGCATCGAGCCCTGGTGTGGCAGAGACGCACCTACGAAGGGGTAGCGCGTGCAAGCGGCAAGGCCCCATGGTTAAGTCGGGCGTGTCCCCCCACAGGGGGACTGGTCAAGAATAGTCAAAAAATAGTCTGGAGACGATTTTGTGACTATTTCTGACTGTTTTTGAATATCCGTAAGGGCTTCGCCCCCTACCGCCGGCTCCCTCTCTCGGAGAATGGGCCATGGAAGAGCTAAGTCATGAGGCCTTGGCGCTGTCGTGAAGCAGTATCGAAACTTCATGCGAAGCCGATTCGCAATCAGCAAAACCAACTGATCACAAGAGGGGTTACCACACCTGGCGATTGGTAAGACGTGTATGGTTTACGGGCTTGGTTACCACACCTTGCGATTAAAGGGCCGAGGGAGTTCTCGCAGTTTGGGTTACCACGCCTTGCGATGGATGTGCGTGAAGGGTGGCACCGAATTTCAGAAATGTGGCAAATCCCTTGTGTTTTTGGACCCTGACCCCGCGGATCTGCGTGAGGGGTGGCACCGAATTTCAGAAATGTGGCAAATCCCCTGTGTTTTTGGACCCTGACCCCGCGGATCTGCGTGAGGGGTGGCACCGAATTTCAGAAATGTGGCAAATCCCATGTGTTTTTGGACCCTGACCCCGCGGATCTGCGTGAGGGGTGGCACCGAATTTCAGAAATGTGGCAAATCCCATGTGTTTTTGGACCCTGACCCCGCGGATCTGCGTGAGGGGTGGCACCGAATTTCAGAAATGTGGCAAATCCCATGTGTTTTTGGACCCTGACCCCGCGGATCTGCATGAGGGGTGGCACCGAATTTCAGAAATGTGGCAAATCCCCTGTGTTTTTGGACCCTGACCCCGCGGATCTGCGTGAGGGGTGGCACCGAATTTCAGAAATGTGGCAAATCCCCAGTGTTTTTGGACCCTGACCCCGCGGATCTGCGTGAGGGGTGGCACCGAATTTCAGAAATGTGGCAAATCCCATGTGTTTTTGGACCCTGACCCCGCGGATCTGCGTGAGGGGTGTCGATTTCGAGCCCCCCCAGCAATTCAGACAACGCGCCCAGGGGGTGCTAAAAAGCCGGTTTGGGCCTCCCCCCCCTCGCGCGGTCAATCACCTAGTTACAGTAACCAGCAATAAGTCAACTAGTTACAGTAACCAGCAAGAAACAGAACTGTAACACTGGAAACTACAACCTACGACTGGTACAGGAAACTGCGAATCACGGGCCTACAGCCTGGTGGCCCCACAAGGGGGCCGGCGAATTTTTATTTTTTCCGTCCAAAACCTGCCTGTAGGAGGATACGCCCGACCTAACCCCAGAGTAGGAGCACAAGAGCGAGGGAGACCGGGCGGGTGCCGCCGGGCCCCGAGCGGGAGGGGGCCGGAAGGCAGAGGCCTGCGTGCGCAGCCAGGGGGGGCCCAGAGGGCGCGGCGCAGGGACTGGGGCCCACGACAGGTGCGTGACCCGGGCCGTGTGTGGGGAGGGTGCCGGCGCTGCTCCCCCCCTCCCCTCGCCGCAGTTGGCAGCTCTCCCCGTCGCGCCGGGCTATCCCCGTCGCGCCGGGGCTCTCCCCGTCGCGCCAGGTCTCCTCCGCCCGTCGTTCCGTGCATCGCGGCCCTCAGTTGCATACAGCGTACCTCCCGTTTCCTATCCGCCAGAGCAGTCGCCCTCGGCCCAGCCGCCGACGCAAAAGTGGGGAAGGTGAGGCCGCCAGGCACAGAGCCGGGCGGCCGCAGGCCCGCGCAGCGTCGCCGCGTGTGCAGCCGCTTGCCGACCTGTGGTGAATGCACTTGCCGCTTGCCCCGGCGAGCGGCGCGCGGGGAGTTTAGCGCGACGCGCACGTGCAGACTCGCATTAGGCCTGGCGAGCCTGCCGGACAGGCGGCGGCGGCAGGCATGCACCAAGCAGGGCCAGACGAGCTGCACAGCGGCGGCGGCGGCGCCAACCCATGGCAGCCAGGCGCCCACCCAAGCCGCTGGCGGCCAAGCCTGCACGGGAGAGCAAAGTGAGTGACACAGACACACATACACACAAAAACACACACAAAAACACACACACACATACACATACACATACACATACACACATACACATACACATACACATACACATACACATACACATACACATACACATACACATACACATACACATACACATACACATACACATACACATACACATACACATACACGCACACGCACGCGCACGCCCACGCCCGCGCCCACGCCCACGCCCACGAGCGCGCCACGCACGCAAAACACGCAACGCACGCACGCACGCACGCACGCACGCACGCACACACGCACACAGTCCACACACCCACACCACAAACACACGCACGCGCACACGCACACGCACACGCACACACACACACGCACACACACACACACACACACACGCCCACACCCACACCCACACCCACACCCACATCCAAACGTACACGCACACACGCACACACGCACACACGCACACATGCCCAAGCAGCCGTCGGAGGAGCAGCGCTACATGCATTCACGAGGGAACCTGCCGTCAATGCCTTCGCGATTCGTGAAGTCGAGGCCCCGCTTGGCAAGATGGGCGCTGTCAAAGCGCTAGTGGCTGAGTGGACGGCGTACTGGCGAACATCGGCTCCACCTCCTGTCCTCCGATGGCCTCAAGACCTTGGTGAACGGCCTGAGCGGCCAACGGTCGATCAGCTACGTCGGGTATTCTCTACATTCAAGGCCGGCGGGGGGAAGAGCTTCGACAACTTCAGCCCTCGGGACTTCAGCGTGCTGGATGACGCTGGGGTGGATGCGTTGGCGGGTCTGCCTGTACTGATCGAGGAGCGCACGACCTGGCCAGATTTTGTTAACAAGCTGGCGTTCATACCTAAGCGTGAAGGTGGAGTTCGGCCGATTGCCTTGCTTGCTGCTCTTGTGCGAGTGCACGGACGACTGCGCAGGCCTCTTGCATCAGTGTGGGAGGCGCAGCATGATCGAGCACATTGGTGGGCTTCAGCGGGCAAGAGCTGCGACAGGGCAGTCAGGCAACAACTTGCATGAAGTGAATGGGTCGCCATGAAGAGCGACGAGGACCCCAGCGCAGACTGGGCTATTGCTACGCTACTTCTGGGCCTGTGGAAGGCCTTTGAGCAGATCCGACACGACAATCTGCTTCGTCCGGCTCAGAAGTTTTCGTTCCCGCTATGGTTACTCAAACTGCAGTTGGGCATGTATTCCAAAGCGCGCGCTTTGGCTCTCGATGGTGCTGTCTCAGACCTGATTTGGGTGCACCAGACGGCGTTGGCTGGCGACTCCTTCGCCGCGGCATTTATGAAACTGCAGCTCATGGAATCAGTTGATCGCACGCAGCTGGTGTGTCCCACGGTTACTCCAGCTATTGTTGTGGACGACCGCGTTTTACAGAGGCATGGAGGCGAAAAGCGAGTTGGCAGAGACATCATCCTCGCCACGCAGGTGCTCGTCAACGGATTGGCTAAGGGCAGCATCAGCATCTCTGTCAAGAGGTCTCAGGCGTTGGCGTCCACTCCAGCACTGGAGAAGGGGTTGAAGGTCAAGCTACACAAGGTCGCTGGAGCTCAGGCAGTGAATCATGCCAGGAATCTCGGCACGGACTTTGCTGAAGGCCGAGCACTGGGACGAGCAGTTCGCCGAGCAAGGCTCCTTGCAGCTGGGCGACGGGCACCGCGTGTGCGACGGATTCTTGGCTCTGGAGGTCGGCGAGGAATCGCTGCCCGTCTCGCCAAGCAGGGCCTGGAGGCAGGGTGCGCGCACAGTGTGAACTGCACGGGGGTCAGCGACAGCGATCTTCAGACTTCTCGCTCGTTGGCCTTTCGGGCCACCGAGGCTCGAGTGGACGGGAAGAGTCTGCGCTCAGCCTCATGCTGTCGCTTGTGCGTGAGTTTGGCCCCATCTTTCGAGCCACTACCGATCCCGTTTGTATGATGCACCGTGCTGTTTGGGAATCGCGGCTGTCGATGACCATCCTGACCTTGGTGATGCGCTGGGCCTCGGCGCACGTCGCGACCTGGGCTCAAGTTCGAGGGCCCACCAGCGCCGCCTTCCTGTCCCTCCTGCGCGTCGGGTGGGCAGCGACCAGCCTCGCGACGTGGATCAACTCGGCGAATGGGGCAGTCTACAAGCCAATGGACTTCTCGCCATGGTATACCAAGCAGGTGGTGAGGAAAGCCGTGTTGTGGTGGCAGTTCCACAAGGTTGTGGACGAGATGCCGCATTTAGATAATGGGCTCAACATAGCACAGCTTCGCATATGGATTCTCCGCGGACGACCGACGGCGCCCCAGGGGCGCGACTGGTCTGCGCTCGGTGCTGAGGAGCGACGGCGCGCCATATCGCTTTTGGTGAGCGGCCAGTGGGTCAATCACCGACGATATCATAACAATCCGCGGTATGCTCGCTCGGAAGACGTGTGCACTTTGTCCTGGGAAGGTCGGCAGCTCGTGGCATCGGCGCATCGAGCGCGCTCATCGCTGGCCTCAACCGCAGGTGCCAGCAGCCATCGAGGTGCTCAAGCGGCAGGCCGACCACCCCAACATCATCACGCTCGTCGAGAGATTGCTAATGGTCAGGCCCAAGGTGCTTTGGCAGGCGCCTCAAGATGAGCTGATGTCAGCTGTGCGATGGCTCCTCGGCAATGGAGAAGTTCTCTGAGAGGAACCCTTTCACAACGTCGAGCTCTTCACGGACGGCTCGGCACTCGACCTCGACACCGACTTCGGCATGGCAGGCTGCGCAGTGGTGCAGATTTCCCCTCGGGCCTGGCTGCTTTGATCCAGGCGCGAAGTGTGCGCTGGGGGCGCTGGGGCCCCCGTTGATGGGATTGCACCCGTCCGTTGAAGGCGCGGAGCTGCTGGCCACTCTGATCCTGGCGCGCCACAGTCTGGCGCCGATCACCGTGAGAGTGGACGCTAGCTACGTTGTCGATGGGCTGCTGTCTCGTGGGCGTGAAGGCACATGCGGATCGCCTCACAGTTGGGCGTTCCTTTGGAGATTGGTCTGGGATGTCATCGATGACTCTGGCGGGCTGTGCCCGGAGGGGCTAACGGTGGTCAAAGTCAGGGGGCACGGGGCCATCGGAGACGTCGAAGCGGGCAGGCTTACGCGCCGGGAGCGCCGTTGCAACCTCGAGGCAGACGATTGGGCCAAGCAGGCCACTCGTCCGTTCGCCACGGGGACAGCTGACAGGGACAAGATCTGGCGCGCTGACCTCATGGTGGACGGGGTGGTTGCGTGGGCCTCATGCGCTGGCGCTCCTGCCGCAGCCGCCCGCGACGACATTGATGCGGAGGTGGTTATCAAGCAGCCGTTGAAGATTCAGCTGGTCCTCACTGCGCACGAGTTCGCGGAGAAGGATGGCTGCTGGCGGTGCTCTACGCGTGGGCGCTATGCGAGAACGAAGGAGTCTCAGCGCAAGCTCACCTACCTACCCTGCATCCCGAGGCCAGGCCCCCACCAACTGGCCGAGGGGGGCCCTTGCTTAGGAGCCAAGCGTCCTGCAGCGGCTGCAGGGCAAGTGGCAGCAGCAACAGCTGCTGCCATGACAGCGCCCCAGAGCAGCGCGGATAGCCGAGAGGACGGGGATGGAGATCAGCACCAGCCTGAGCCGCCCTCGTCGCGTGCAAGTGCGGGTGAGTCGGCAGAGATGACTTCGCTGCACGCGGCTGCTCTTGGTCATGATAGTTGCATCGTCAGTGGGTTTCGTACGTGCATGAAATGTTGCTACTCTGTTCGTGAACGTGACGGACTGCCACGCCAGCTTGGGAAGGATTGCACAGGACATCCTACGAAAGGCGACAATGCAGGACGTGTACGACGTCAGCGTCGTGGTTTGATTCTTCAGGCGTTGGACCCCATGTCGAGACAGCGTCTGCCTGATTGGGTGAGTTGCAGCATGCTTCGTTTGTGCTCGCAGCGCTGTTTGGTTTGTTGGTGCCCCGGAGGCCTCTGAAGGTTCGCTGCAAGGAAGCCTGCGGCAGAAACCCTGTGCTGCTTTGTTTGCGGATACAGCACGCTTCGCGTGGGCTGGGAGGAGCGTGCTTCTTATCTTTTCGAGTGTGGGCCTCCGCGAGGCGGGCTCCAGTGCGAGTGTCTTGCTTGGCCTGCGCCATCTGTATTTGCACGCTTCGCGTGTCACTTCTATGTGTTGCACGTCGGCGATGGTCCTCCTATGTTGAGTGATGTCGTTCTTCTCGTGCCATAGCACACGCTTCGCGTGGTCTAACTTGGACTGTGCCTAGCGCTTCGCGCGACGCTCGCCCGAAGGGGTGGAGCTCCGCCGTGCCTTTGCTGTGGCGTGGACTGCGGGGTCCTGCCGTAGCCTTGCACGATTGATCGGGCCGAGGGGCTCGGTTGTGACGGCCCTGGTGGCTGTCGTGTGTGCAGCTTGGCTGTGCGCACCTGCACGAGTAAAAAAAACGCACACACGCACACGCACACACGCACACGCACACACGCACACACACGCACGCACGCACGCACGCACGCACGCACGCACACACGCACACACGCACGCACGCACGCACGCACACACGCACGCACGCACACACGCACGCACGCACACACGCACACACGCACACACGCACACACGCACACACGCACACACGCACACACGCACACACGCACACACGCACGCACGCACGCACACACGCACACACGCAAACACACACACACACACACGCACACACACGCGCTCCCGCACACCCACACGCACACACGCACACACGCACACACGCACGCACGCACGCACACGCACACACGCACACACACACACACGCACATTTTTGTTCCCGACGCGCCGACTGGTGACAAACAGCGGCGGTTAGCAATTGGCATGCGGGCCACACTATGCAGCGATAGTCCATCTTTCTATGGGCACTTGCACAACCTTGAAGTAGTTGTCCAGCGACAGCCTGACATAGCCGACCGCCGGGCTGCAGAATGCACGTAATGCAAGGCAGAAGACCAATGCCACGCCGGGGAGGGGGAGGGACGGAGGAACGAGAGCCGACGGTGAGCCCGAGAGCGCCACGGAGGGACCCGGCAGGCGGGATAACCAGTAGGCGAGGCGCAGGCGCGCAAAAAACGACTTGGAGACCGATCCGGTAGTTGCCGACGATCGCGGCGTGCAGCGAGGAACGATAAGCGGATAAGGGGGGCATGTGGCTGGAAGCGCTGCCACGCACACGCTTTTAGCTTCGCGGCCGCTTAGTCCAAAGCAGCGATGGCAGTAGCGGGTTGCGCTAAGCTGATTATTGCCAGGCATGTGCCGATGGGGTGTCAACCGACAAGCGGGTGACGGATGTAGGAACAAGTGCCGAAGGCCATGCACGTGAGGATATTCACGCACACATGCTATTTGTGCTTCCGTCCGCGATGTAGTAGCAACATTGGTTTCGACGTGCAAAGGGGCCGCGTTGGCCTGAATTGCACTCGCACGTGCGGCGACCGCCATACACACACGGGAACAAACACACCCTAGCATCGCCTCTACCTCTTGGTCTTGCCCTGCGCACGTGCGCCCGCTCACTGGATGCCACTCTGTTCAGCGATTGAGCCTCGGGCGGCGTCTCGATGATGCCGCTGACGTCAAGATTCCAACCCCTGCGGTGAGTCAGCCTCATGCTCCTCTTCCTCCCTCCTGCTGCTGGTGCTCCGCCCTCCTCTGCTTCCTCATTCTTCCTCCCCTCAATATGCATCCACTCCTCTCTTCTCGTTTCGGCTCCTCGTGGCCCTCCTCCTGCTCCAAGCGTTCTCGATGGTTGTCGTCGTCCACCTCATCGTTCTCCTCTTATCCGTCGTCCCTCCTCCCTCCTAGTCTTCCCCTGATCTCCGAGGTCTGAAACTAGTCGACGCACGGGCCTCAGAGTTCTGCGCCTCTTTTCGATGGCCCTGGTTGTTCGTCCCTGGTCGTTGTGCGATCGTCCCCGGCCCGTGAGCGAGTGACATGACGGTGGAAGTTGCGGATCACACACGCTCGTTTTCATTACTCACCAGGTGCCTTCCACTAGTAGCACAGTGGCTACTCGCAAACGTCTGAAAAAAAACACGTTTGCCTCGCTGTAGTGGATCGTATAATCGTATAATGTGACTTTGCGAGTAGTGACTTTGCGAGTAGTGGAACGCGCTTGCCCACTCCGAGTTTCTTAATAGGCGTCGGGGGGGTGTCACACCCGCCGACAGCCCCACATCGACCTCCGTCGCGGGCAGCCACCGCGCGCCGAAGGCGCTCCGACCCCCGTCGCGGCGCGACGACGAGGCGAGGTTGACCCCCGTCTGGGGGGGTATCCCCCCACGCTTATCAAGGAACCCATGGTAATTACAGACGTTGGAGGCATGGGTCAGCGAAGAGGCCCTCCTCTTTGCCACGGCGACGCACCGCGGAGGGCGGGCCGGGCTGGGCTACAAGCTGGGGCCCTGCCAAGGAGGCGCGGCGAGACCGCGCGCCCCTGGGCCCTTTCGGCGCGCGCCGAGGACCCCCGCCGACCACCCGGGCGCGAAGGCAACGCCGCCCGCCTGGGAGGGCGAGAGGCAGGGCCAAGCGGGGAGGGTCCTGGCGGGTCGGAACTGAGGGGCAACCGAGAAGGGGGGGGACTGGCACAGGGGGGGAAGCATCGACCTGGAATCGGCGATACATCGCCGATCGATCGGCGATAGGTCTCCGATCGTGAATCCGCATCTTCCTGGGCAGGTTGGGGCTGTCGGGCCCGCATCGGCGATCAATGGGCGACTGAAGGTCGATGCATCCCCCCCTATGCCTATCCTCTACTTGTTGCCCCTGAGGAGTGGGTACGGAAAGGAAGGGGTACGAAGACTGAGCAAATCTCGGCGGCGACCGAGGGGTGGAAGTTGAGAGGGAGAATGCCTTCTCAGAAGGCGGCGGGGCTTCTCAGAAGCCCTCGGGCCTTCTGAAAAGGTTTTTGTCTGCGTCTCTGGGGAAGGCCCAGAAGACTTCTCGGAAGGCCAGGGGAACTCCGAGCCTTCTGCTGAGACGGCCCGCCCCTTCTAACTTCCCCCCGCGCTCGCCGTCGAAAATCCGGTTGAGCAGGAATCGCTGTCGGCGTCGCTGCGGGCGGTGTCCATTCGCGACAGCAGGCCTTTGCCCATCAGCGGCCGCTGTTGGTTGTTGGACAGCATTTGTTGTTGGGCATTGTGCCCCTTTTCTCCGTACCCATTTCGGGCGTCCCACTATCAGGAGAGGAGAAAACACACAGACACAATTAATCGTCGATCCCCAGGAAGAAATTGGAAACTATGGGAAGCGGGGGGAAGACGAACGCCTAAAAACCATGGGAAACTATGGTGAATCCTGGGGCTTGTGTCTATTTATTTGTGTGCCCCAGGGCCCCTTCACAAGAGGGCGTGGGGAGTAGGGGGGTGGAAGAAGAACGCGCTGCCTATAAACAGAACCGTGCGGCGGTGCGCGCGGACTTCTTGGATCGGTGCCGGGCCCGCCTGGCGGCGCGCCCAGGCCTTGGCGCGCTCCACGCGCCAGTGGGAGGGGGGTCTGGCGCAGATCCGAGACGTCCGCGCGGACCGTCGAAGGTGTATGGTTAGGCCGCTCTTTCTTCCTCCGACTTCGGGGGGGGGGGAGCCCCAGCGGGCGCCATTGCCCTCTCGGGTGGCCAACTCCGCTCAGGGCGCCAGAGACGGGGGCACAGCAAAGGGGGGCACGGGGAATGCCGATTCCCACGATTGGCTATGCCCCTGCTTAGGGCGCCCTGGGCGCCGTGGACAGGGGCACAGCAAGCAGGGGCATAGTTATGGAAAAGCCTGAGCCCCCGTGTGGCCGAACCCCCCGTTTGCGAGGCCCCGATCCGCGCGGACGGTCGAAAGTTTGTGTTTTTACGCCGCTCTTTCTTCCTCTGGTTTCGGGGGGGGGGAGCCCCAGTGTGCGCCACGCCCTCTCGGGTGGCCAGCTCCAGCCTGGCCCCACGGGCGCTTGCGGCAGTCTGTCGATCAGCAGTCTGGATTCCCTGTCGGAGTCCTGGTCAGAACGCACCCTGGGAGGGGTCCGAGAGGTGTCGGTATCCGAGTCGTTGTTCCCCGCCAGTGCCGGGTCCGCCGACGCGCAGATCGCGCTCCATCGGCAGGCCGAGGCGCTGCCTTGCCGAGCGCGCCGCAGCACAAGACAGCACGTCGCAGCGGAGAGGGTTCGTCGGCATGGCTGGGCCCAGTCGTACCTCTCCCTGGGCCGAGCAGATCCTGGGCGTCTGCGTCCAGGGTCGGCGTGTATGCCCTCCTGGCCAGGCCGGGAGGGCCTGCACACCGACCCTGGGGCCAGTTCTGGCCGGCCGAAGGTCACAGTACGTATCCATGTATGATCTGTTCCTGCGCGTGTGTGTGTGTGTGTTTTATTTGTGTGCGCCTGTGTGTGTGCCTGTGTGTGTGTTATGTGTGTGTGTGCCTGTGTGTGTGTGTGTGTGTCTGGGCGGTCCACTCGCGAAGGTCGATGGGCTTCCTGGACGGCTGACGCCGCGCGAACGTATTCCTGTCCCGATTGAACAGGGGCCTCACGCTTTTCTCCACTACGGGGCGGAGCTCCCCCAACTCCGCACCATGGTACGCCAAGCTGGCCTCATCTGCAGACTTCGTGTCAACCGCGCACGCAGGCCATCATCCTCGACGAGCTCCTGGCCGATGAGCTACAGCACTTGGAGCGCAAGTTACCCCGACGCGACCGCCTTCGAATCGAGGCCGCCATTGACGTGCGTCGCCTTGGCCTGCGCCCACGGAGCGACTCGCTCGGCTGACCGAGTGCAAGCCACTGGCACCTGCTCTGCTACACGTCTTGGGCTGCGATCCGCAAATGCTACACTGGTGTGCGCACCCCTCCGACGTTCGCAACACCGGCCAGAAGCTGCTGTTCCCAGCAGGCTGGCTTCGTCCGTCCTGTCGTTGGCTACGACCCATCCAGCGGCACAAGTAGGCTCTCGGTTGCTCCTCTCCAGTGCGCGTGCGGCCCACACCTGCCCGAGGACCCCACTGGCTGCACGATCGACGTGACCACGATCCAGGAACGACCTACGGGCATCCACAGGGAGGCACCGTCAAACGGTGGCTCTGCCAATTCGGGACGCCGCGGATCCTACCACAGCAGCTAAACAACGCCACCCAGTGCTGCCGGAAGCATATCGAACGCCTCGGCGCCACATTGGGCCGGCTTCTCGTTTGCGACCTCCTCCAGTCAATAGGCGGCTTCTCGGAGGAAGGCAATCACGACCCGCGCCCGGCGTGGAAGGGCGTCTTCCTGTGTTGCATTGACCACTCAGACTCGTGGTGGGCCCCCCACCTGTTCGGCCTTGACACCAGGATGCAGCTGGTTAGATAGGTTTGGGCCTTCCGAGGTTCCCATCCGACGGGCCCCGGATCTGACGGCACGGCCCTGGCCCCCTTGCTCCCAAAGGGTCTCTTGCGTGGTCTGCGTGGTTGGCGCTGAGTTGGACCGGAAGCGTCGTTCCTGGAATCGAGGCCTCTTAGATGTGGTCCGAGTAGATGGGGTCGAAGGTTCGCTCCGCATCGCCGATGCATCGGCGATGCGGCTCGATGTGGAGCCCGAGTTTCCCCACACCGACGTCGCCGATGCATCTTCGACATCGCCGATGCATCGTCGATACATCGGCGATACATCGGCGATCCAGTGCAATCCTTCGACCCCATCTACTCGGACCCCATCTAGGAGACCTCTATGGAAGCGACCTGCGCCTCGCCCATGCACGGGGGCGCCCTGTCAGCCACTAAGCACCTACTCAACGCAGCAGAACCAGATGCTCTGCCAGTCGCTCGCGCACCCATTCCAGCCTGCGTTTCCGAGTCAGACAACCGCCTGGCCTAGGACAGGAACGGGTTCTCCGCCAACTGCGACACCTGCCGGCGAGGCCCTTTCGACGCATGCGGGGCGCCCTCCCCAATAACCACCGGGGCATGTACCATAGGGCGGACGGCGTTCCAGCAACCGATGCAGAAAGCAGGAGAGCGCTTCAGCACTGATTTTTTAACGAGTGCAGGCCTTCAAGCAGCCGAAGGCGGGCCCTGCAGACCTGCATTGATTCATTGGCTTGTGCCGCACCGCCGACCCCTTGGGGCGGCAGCAAGAGTGAAAGACAGAAATCGCGGAACGCGCGCGATCGCTGGGCAATCTTAGGATTTCGGCTTGTCCTGCGTAGCGTGTGGGGTTCAAGGGGGGGCCCTGTAGGGGATTGTTTTGAAGTTTTTCGTGGTCTTATGTGAGTTTCTTGGGGCCTTCACGGGGCCTGTCCCAGGCCTCTGTTTCCACCTCCTGGATAGGCTCGGGGATCGTTGAGACCCAGCTGGGGTTGCGTCCGGCCAGACGTTCGAGAGTAGACCCAGCTGTGTCGACGAGGAGCTTCCTGAAGGCCCAGAGGGGGCGGAGGGCGCCCAAGAACTAGGAGTCTCATGCCTCGAGCCTCGATCCACCCCGTGTTCCTTCCTTTGCGAAGTGGTGGCGCCGGCCAGGGAGGTCGATCCTCATCCCGGACTTTCGGCGGTGGTCCCCGGCACCGAAAACGGTTCCTGAAGGCTGAATTCGAGGAGATGCTTCGGGTGGTCGAAAGACCACTAAAATCTGTGAAACATCGGCGGCGACGACGAAATGTTCTTTCTTTTTTCCGTCTTCTTCCTCCTCTTCCTCCTCTTCGTCCTTCTCTTCTTCTTCTTCTTCTTCTTCTTCTTCTTCTTCTTCTTCTCGATCGAGGTAGATGCCCGCGGCAGTTCGTGTATAGTGGGTTTCGGCTCACCCCGCCACGGTGCCTTGGTTGTCGGCCTGAGATGCTTGGTGCCTGGGCTGCGGGTTAGAAGTTTCATGCATCAAGTGGCATTTGAGGCTTCTTTCGAGTTTTTCGGGGGCCTCTTGGGGGGCCTCTCAGGGGCCTCTTGGGGCTTCTTTGGGGGGGGCCTCTTGGGGGCCTCACGGGCCCTGTCGGGCGCCTCTTGGGCCCCCTCTGGGGCCGTTTTGGGGCGGAAGGCTCGGATTGTTGGTTCAGGCTCCTCCTCTTTGGTCTCTTTGGGCCGTCTTGGGACTTTCTTGGGCCGTCTTGGGAGCCTCTTGGGCCGTCTTGGCGCCCTCTAGGGCCGTTTCGAGCGCCTCTTGAGAGCCTATTGGGCCGTTTTGGGGCCGTCTTCAATGCCGTGAAGGCCGGAAAGTCTTGTATGATGAACATGTACGTCGCCCCATCGGAATGCAACGATTTTGGCCTCTGGGGCCCCTCTCGGGGATGCTCTTGGAGGCTTTCTGGGCCGTCTGGCAGGCTTCCGGGGCCGTCTTAGGGGCCATCCCGGGCGTCTCGGGCCGACTTCTGGTCGTCCCGGGGGCCTCTTGGGCCGCCGTGGGGGCTGCTTGGAGCCCTCGGGGGCTTCGTTGGGCCTGCTGAGACCTTTGCCCCCCGCCCCCCCGCCCCCTTCCAAACTGGCTGACTGGGCTCCCAGGGGAGGGGTTCGGGGAGGGGGGAGCATCTCACACGCCGTGACCCCAAGGGGTCGGCGGATTTCTACTTGGCGCGAGCCTCCCAGCAGTTCGAGCAGATAACAAGGACGGGTGCTGCAGTCACCTGGCTGCCTTGGCCGTCTTGGTCGCCGCTCTCGCGCCATTGCGGTGTGGCCAGAGGTTCGCAGTGCCGGAGTATTTCATTGGCTCACCAGTTAGTGTCAAGTCGGGCATGTCCCTCTACAGGGGAATATTCAAACAATAGTTCAGCAAGAGTCTTGGGAAGATGTTTGAGTAGTTGTTGTTGTTGTTTGTCGTATTTGTTTAAAAGAAAAAGGAATCCCAACTCCGCCTGTAGGAGGACACGCCCGATCTAATCCTAGGTTCGCAGTGCCAGAATATTTCAGTGGCTCACCAGTTCGTGGGGTAGTGGAAATTGTGCGGCGCATGTGTCCACATCGGGGTATTTTTGGGGTGATGTTTGCGTTTTGATGTCGATTGCGTCTGCAGCCTTTTTGAAAACGAGGCGTGGGCATATTGCTAGCCCCCTCCGCCCAGGGCACTGCGCTCCTCACTCTCCCCCCCTTATCCTTAGTTGGTTCTTTCGCAGCCCAAGCCGGGTGTCGCTACAGCGCCGATTCTTCATCAAACGGGGGCACTCCAGCAACCCAAGCCGGAAACAAGGGACACTGATGGCTGCATGCCTATCCAGCGCGGACGTTGCGGCAACCCGCGGCGGGGGCGCTCTAGCGTTGCATTGGCACTTCGAGCAAAACACAAGGCTTTCGCTGTCGCCGTCGTCCCCGCCATCGCCACCGCTGTGTTCGTTGCTGTCGCCGTCGTCGCCGCCGCCCTGTCGCCACCGCCGTGTTCGTCGCCGTCGCCGCCGTCGCCGCCGTCGTTCCCTTCTGGCGCCGTCGCCCCCTTCGGTCGTCGTCGCCCCCGCCGGCGCCGTGGCCGCCGAGTGGTCGTTGCCGTCGTGGCGGCCGTCGCCGTCGTGGTCGCCGCTGTTTCCGCCGCCGCTGCCGCTGCCGTGGTCTGGCCATACGTTTGAACCGCCCCGCAGACTGGCCTCGGGGGTGGACAGAACCCCCACCCTAACACGTCGATTAGTGAATTGTCCGTCTTCGGTTCTCGGGAGGGCGCCGCGGCCGTCATTTTCCAGGGTTGCGCCCGCTAGCTTTGGGCCCGAAACCGTTTTCACTAAAACACGTTTTTTTAAAGGGGGTTCTGTCCATCCCCGATGGCTGGCCATTCGAATGTGGTCTCAGGGATGAGAAAAAAACAGCTACCAGCAGCTGTGTTGTCCATGCAGTGAGATTTCTCTCCACATGGAGTTTGTCCGCGAGGGTGTCTTTCTGCGTGTTGCACAAGGGCCCGTCATCTTCTTAACAGGAGGATTTGTCCACGCTCCATACATGACCTGTGCTTGTCATGCAAACTCCCCCGCGTGGATACACAGGTTTGTTTCAACGAGCACGTTTGTTCTTGATCCACTGAACGCGTTCGTTTCGTTTGCCCAGACCCACAGTCGATACTTATGTGTTTGTCAATGTGGACCCAAACCGCGAAGTTATTGTATTGTGGATGCGTACGCTACGTGGTGCACGTCTCGTAGTGCCATGTATGTGGTGCAAGCCACGCTGTGCAAGCCATGTGGTTCAGCCTCAGTGATGCGAGCTATGCTGTGTAACCTGTGTGGTGTATGCTGTGCGGTATGAGCTGCGTGGCGTGAGCTGTGCGACGCAGTCTTCGCGGTGCCCACGAGGCGCCCCCTGCGGACGCCGGGCGACATTTCGAACGAGGCGCCCACGCGGCGCCCACGAGGCGGGCGCTGGGCGAAACCTCGGCCGACCCGCCCAGCGACCGAGGCGCCCCCGAGGCGCCCCCCCGGGCGAGCACCGAGGCGAAGCCGCGGGGGACCCACCCGCGCAGGAGGCGCCCCCGAGGCGCCCACGGGCGCCCACCAGCCGGGCACCAGGCGAGACCTCGGCCGACACATCCGACTCCACAGGAAAGACTTCCCATGCCACTTCGGCTGACGCGCAGCCCTTCGTGCGGACGTTCGCGCGCAGGTTGCCTTCGCCACGTCTCGCGGAAGCGCCCTCGTCCGCACTCGGGCCGCCGCGCTTGCCGCTTGCGGAGATTGCCGCGGCAGGTCGCCATGCGCTCTCGTGCAGGAAACGTTTCTCTCCCTGGGTAGTCGAAGGCCAGACTGTCAGACTGGATTGGGCCCCAAGGGCCAATCTGGCCTGGCCAAACTGGATGATTTGGGTTATTCGCCAGACTGGATTCGCGTTGGCTCCCTCGCCAGATTGCCCCCGTTTGCCAGATTGGGCCTGCCAGATTGGCGCCAGATTGGCTTCGACTACCCAGACTCCGTCGTCCACCCTGCGTACTTCTGCCTCCCTCCCCTCGCCCGGGCTGTCCATCGCCAGGCTTTCCCCGAGCAAGGCGGGCGTGGCTCCGGAGGCCGCTCTGGAGGACGTGTCCCCGATGCTGACGGACGTGCCCGGGGGGGCCATGCGGGCGGGGGCGTAGCTCGCCGCCATGACGGGCATGGGCGATAATCCCTGGGAAAGGGGCCTCGACTATTTTTTGCCGTCTTCGGGCTCCTTCGCTTGGGGCAACATGCGATTCGGAATAAAACGCAAGTGCAAGGGAAGGCCCTCGGTTGTCAGGACCCGTTCCCTGCAGGACCAGTCTCCCTCATGCCAAGCCTGATTGCATAGGCTACGAGGACGTGGGCGTCCACCAAAATTGTATTGGAGGTTCTTCTTATTTCTTTGGGCGTCCTGAAAACAGTCTCCGGGCTCCGAGAGGCTGTCCAAAACGATGAAAAGCTGGTCCGTGGGCAGAGCCGGACAGGCCCCCCCAACCCGAAATTCACGTCTTCGGGTTGGGTTGGGGTGGTCTGGTAGGTAGTCAGTATCGAAGGCTGCGGCGGGAACGACATCGCCCAGGGGATTTCTCCACGCCAGGTCTTCTTCGAATGCCATCGAGCCAGCGGGGCGAGTTGGGCTGGTGATCGCTCTTGTCTTCATTGTTTTGCCGATCGGCGCGGGCCCCCTCCCCCTCCCCTCCCTATGGAGTAGATCTTGGCTGTCTTTTGGCGCCTGTTTCGCGCAGGTGGAGCCTCCCCCATAATGGACGCCCTGTTGCAAACAGTCGTGTTCAGCAGAGGTCCGGAGACAGGCACCCCCCGTCCGCCCTTTCCGCCCAATGTCGAAACGCCGTGTAAAAAAAACGCTCACCCACTGGCCACAGTGACTCGCACTGTCATCCCTCGGGCTGCTCGCCCGTGCTGCAGCCCCTGAGAAGCAGATCTCGGTATGGCTTCTCCTCATGCGGGCTCGGGCACCACGCTGGCCTGGGAGGCCAAACATACCGAAGTGACAGATCCCATGTGATTGTTTTGTTATTCATTGTTTTGCCGATCGGCGCGGTCCCTCGCACCCCCCCTCCCCCCCCATGGAGTGGATCTATGTTGTTTTTTAGCGCCTGTTTCGAGCAGGTGGAGCCTCCCCCATCATGGACGGCCTGTTGCAATCAGACGCGCGAAGCAGAGGTCCAGAGCCAGACCCACCCCCGTCCCTCCCCCTTTCCGCCCAATGTCGAAACGCCGAATAAAAAACGCTCGCCTTATGCGGGCTCGGGCACCAGGCTGGCCTGGGAGACCAGACATGCCGAAGTGACAGATCCCATCTGGTGTGTCCAGCGCGTTGAAGTCCTGCAGTGCAGCAGTCCTGGTTCCCCCCAGCCGCCACGGTGACGCTCAGGGGCTCGACCACCGAACCGAAGTAGCTTCGGGTCCGTATGCCTACAGTGGGGGCCCGTGCCAAGAAGCACCCTGCTCGCCTCAAGGGTGCCCTGGGCGTCTTGGGTTTCGATGGTTTTGCGATGGAAGGCGTGACGTGCCCACACCAAAAATCCATGGACGTCCTGGGGTCTCAGGGTTGGATTTCCTGTGGAAGGTTTCTTGTGGAAGGGCCCTACTGTCTGGTTCCTTCCCCGCGCCCTTGCTGCCTTCAGGTGGGGCCCCACTCTGGGGGCGCGCACGAGCAGCCCAGGCTTGGGCCCTGGCCTGGCGGGCATGCTGTCGGCCATCCCCTGGGAGCTCGCACACGTGGGCCGAACGAGGCGCCCGACTCGGAGTTCCGGCATCCCGTGTGCCCGGCATCCGGGCGGGGCGAGGGCGGCCGTTTTTTGCGAGAAGGCACCCCGCCTCTGAGATAGAGAGCCTTTCTTAGGAGTTTCTAAAAGGTCCCGATCCCTGTTGAGAAAATCATGCCGCCTTACGCGCATGAGGCTCCCAACTCGAAGTTCCGGCATCCTGTGTGCCTTGCAACAGGGCAGGGCGATGGGTGGCGTTTGGGGCGAGGGGAACCGCTTTCTAAGATAGCACCGCACCTCTAAGAAGGAGCTTTTCTTAGGAGCTTTTAGAAGGTTCCGATCCCGGTTGAGGTAAAGCATGCCTTCTTACGTGCCCGCCCCTTCCGTGTCGGGCTCCTGCGGACCAACATGAATACGTGTTGTTTCAAAACGGCAGGCTCCTTGCGACCAACCTTCTGCATGGACGTCGTAAAGCATTGTGGTTGTGGGCCATCATTCTTCTTATTGGGAAGGCCTTACGGCCAGTACCGCCGACCCTGAAGGGGGACGACGACCACGACGCCGGCGTCGGCGGCGACGACGACGACGACGACGTGGGGCGGAGTCCTCGGTGATGCTTCGTGGTGCCTCTTCGGAGTGCGCTCGTAGGTCTCTGCTGGGGGCAGCTCTTGGGAGCATCTTGGGGGGGGGGCCTCTTGGGGGCCTCCTCGGTGGTCCCGTCGAGCTTCCTGGGGGCCTCTTGGGGGCCGCTTCGGTCCTCGTGGGGGCCCCTACTAAGGGGGTGCCTCGGGGCTAGCCCGGGAGCTTCTCGGGGCCGAGGGCTCGAAATGCGCGCTCGGGCTCCCGTGTGGGCACCCTCTTGGAGCAGTTTTGGGGACCTGGGTCGTTTTGGGACCGTCTCGGAAACCTCTTGGGGGCCTCTTGTGCCGATCTTGGTGGCATCTTGGGCCTTCTTCGAGCGTCGGGAAGCCGAAACGGCGAGAACGACAGAATCCCCCAAAAGCCTTGAACAACTCATTGAATTTTGCTTGTTCGCGCCCTCTTGGTGTGCTCTTGGAGAGGCCTCTGCGAGCGTCTTGGAAGCCGCTTGGGCCGTCAGAAGGCCGTCTTTGGCGTCTTGGACCGATTGTTCGGCGATTCGGGGCCCTCTTGGACCGTCTTGGGGGCCTCTTGGGCTGTCTCGGGGCCTTTTTTTGGCCCCAGGACCCCCCAGGGGAGGATGGCATTCTGAAGTGGGCCCCCCCCCCCTTGACCCCCCTCCGGTACCTTACCAGGACCTCCCTGGAGACAGCCTTGGTCCGTGCAGCTGGTGACATTGACGGCAGCTGTGATGTAAGATGCCGAATTATGCTACCGAGGAGCCCCACATACTTATTTCAGATCCTGCGTGGTCATATCATGTTGCACCAAGCACAGCCTCCTGGCATTGTCGTTCGCCTCTGTGGCGTCGGGGATCTGCAACGCCTGCCACACTTTGCGAGCCCGCAACGGATAGGGGGGACCAGCCCCAGCGCACCCCCTGTGGTGTCGAGAACGTGCAACGCCTGCCACAATTTGCGAGCCCGAAGCGTATATGGGGGACCACCCCCTGCGCACCCCCTTGTGGTGTCGAGAAGGTGCAACGCCCGCCACACTTTGCGAGCCCGCGCCGCATAAGGGCACCACCCCCTGCGCACCCCTTTTGGTGTCGAGAAAATGCAACGCCCGCCACACATTGCGAGCCCGAAACTGATGGGGGACCACCCCCTGCGCACCCCCTCTGGTCTCGAGAATATGCCGTGCCTGCTGTGCCCTGGACGACCGTCACGGATAGCGGCCGCGGTGAGAGACCACCCCCTGTGCACCCCTTTCTGGTGTCGAGAATATGCCATGCTTGCTGTGCCCTGGACGACCGTCACGGATAGCGGCCGCGGTGAGAGACCACCCCCTGCGCACCCCCTATGGCGTCGAGAAAATGCCATGCCTGCTGTGCCCTGGTCGACCGGCACGGATAGCGGCCGCGGTGAGAGACCACCCCCTGCGCACCCCCTCTGGTGTCGAGAATATGCCATGCCTGCTGTGCCCTGGACGACCGTCACGGATAGCGGCCGCGGTGAGAGACCACCCCCTGCGCACCCCCTATGGTGTCGAGAATATGCCATGCCTGCTGTGCCCTGGACGACCGGCACGGATAGCGGCCGCGGTGAGAGACCACCCCCTGCGCACCCCCTATGGTGTCGAGAATATGCCATGCCTGCTGTGCCCTGGACGACCGTCACGGATAGCGGCCGCGGTGAGAGACCACCCCCTGCGCACCCCCTATGGTGTCGAGAATATGCCATGCCTGCTGTGCCCTGGACGACCGGCACGGATAGCGGCCGCGGTGAGAGACCACCCCCTGCGCACCCCCTATGGTGTCGAGAATATGCCATGCCTGCTGTGCCCTGGACGACCGGCACGGATAGCGGCCGCGGTGAGAGACCACCCCCTGCGCACCCCCTATGGTGTCGAGAATATGCCATGCCTGCTGTGCCCTGGACGACCGGCACGGATAGCGGCCGCGGTGAGAGACCACCCCCTGCGCACCCCCTCTGGTGTCGAGAATATGCCATGCCTGCTGTGCCCTGGACGACCGTCACGGATAGCGGCCGCGGTGAGAGACCACCCCCTGCGCACCCCCTATGGTGTCGAGAATATGCCATGCCTGCTGTGCCCTGGACGACCGGCACGGATAGCGGCCGCGGTGAGAGACCACCCCTGCGCACCCCCTATGGTGTCGAGAATATGCCATGCCTGCTGTGCCCTGGACGACCGCACGGATAGCGGCCGCGGTGAGAGACCACCCCCTGCGCACCCCCTATGGTGTCGAGAATATGCCATGCCTGCTGTGCCCTGGACGACCGTCACGGATAGCGGCCGCGGTGAGAGACCACCCCCTGCGCACCCCCCTGGTGTCGAGAATATGCCAGACGACCCACGGATAGCGGCCGCGGTGAGAGCGCACCCCCATGCCATGCTGCTGTGCCCTGGATATGAGAGACCACCCCCTGCGCCATGCCATGCTGTGCCCTGGACGACCTGCGCACACGAGAATATGCCATGCCTGCTGTGCCCTGGGACCGCGGATGTGAGAGACCACCCCCTGCGCACCCCCTATGGTGTCGAGAAAGTGCCACGCCTGCCACGCCCTGCGACCCTGGGGCGGATAGAGACCGCGGTGAGGGACCACTCCCTGCACACCCCCTGTAGTGACGAGAAAGTGCCACACACGGATGTGGTGTGTGTGGTGTGGTGTGGTGTGGTGTGGTGTGGTGTGGTGTGGTGTGGTGTGGTGTGGTGTGGTGTGGTGTGGTGTGGTGTGGTGTGGTGTGGTGTGGTGGTTTGTGGTGTGGCGTGGTGTGGTGTGGTGCGATGTGGCGTGGTGTGGTGTGGTGTGTGTACGAGCGAGAAGGAGGAGGTGAGGTGAGCGCGGGTGCGACGCGGGTGTAGAGAAAATCAGAACCCCACTTAGAAGAGAAGGTGGGGAACAACCGAACACACATTCCTTCGCATCCAGATTTATTCATATCGAAATTCACTTATACCCAGAACCATTCGGACGCAGATTCACACACTTAGACTCACTTGCATTCATGTGCACAATTCATATTCAGACTCGTTCGCGTATGTCCACCTTGATTTGGCAGGCTTACCACCTGGCAACCAAAAGGGGGAACCCTTCAGGGGTATTGGTGGGACGTCTCAAGCGGAACGCCGTCTTTGGGAGGAACACGGATCTCTTTTGCCAAGGCCGCGCGGCTTGATCGTTGGTGGAAGTTGCATCGAAGCTATCCATGACATTGGTGGACAAACACACGAGCGATCGCAAGTTGGCAACATCGTCCACAACAAGTGTTTGTCGCACGAGCCTTGGACTTAGTCCCAGACCCCTTGGACGTAATCCCAGATCCCTTGGCTAGCCAAGAGGCTCCCCAGAGGGGACTTACAAGTTGCCGCTTCCAAGTCCACGCCTTGGAGTTGAACCACAGGCTTACCGGGTGTCCTCTTGGAACCCTCTTGTAGCTCTCTTGGGGCCTTCCTGGGGCTTTCCGGGGTCGTCTTGGAACCTCCGAACGGCCCCCAAAGGGGCATTTGAAGATATTAGTTCGAATCGCACGTTGTCGAGTTGGACCAGGGGCTCATTGGTACTCCTTTTGGAAACTTGTTGTGGCTCTCTTCGGGCCCTCTTGGGGGCCGCTGGGGCCTTGTTGGGGCCTCAAGGCGCCCCCAACAGGGTACAGGAAGTTATCGCGTCGAATGCTTCCACGGCCGCTTTCCCGGTGGGGTAAGCTGTACAGGGAGCGACAGGATGGCCACGCGCATGCGCCGAACTCGCGCGTCTAACAAAGGAGGAAACAGAGTTTTTGTGGTGACGCGTACGGGGGGCGCCCACATAATCTTTGTTTCGACGTTTGTATGGCAACACACAATCGGCGTATTCTTGTTGGCTCCCTATGGCTTGGACACTCACTTTCGCATCATGAGCACTATCACAACGGTACGCTCTAGTATGAGACATTTGTTATCTAATAGGGGATCGGTGCCAGACCACGGAGCGCGGCCGCATGGTGACGATGGCACCTCTCCTGTGGATTATTCCAGGCGTGGTGGCGTTGAAATGCATGTGCTCTGGAAGTCAGGCCGATTGAAGGCTTTGCTCTCAACCGCCATAGTGGCCCGATAACCTACACTGTGGCACCCTGAAGGCTCGCAGCTTGTGCAGAGTAGTATGTTCCTATGTCTCACCGTCAGAGTCAGAGGCTCGCGTCTCGACTCGCCAGGGCATCCGCGCTCAGTTTCGATACCAGTCTTGCAGGGCACCTGTCGGCTCGTTCCTAGAGAGGTCCAGCAGGATCCCGCGGCCTCGGCGGTGTGAGCCCCCTCGGCCAGGGCTCGTATGAGAATGGTCGCTTCGGGCGTTGCCCAATCGAAGGGCGATAGGGGGGGGGGGGGCGAAGAAGGGCGCACCTTCGTGCCCCCTGGAGGCTCGGTGTGGGGGGCTGGGGGTTCTTCGGTCGCGTCGGGCCAGGCCTGCCTCGAGACCATCTGGCCAAGACGTCGGCCCCCCTGCTCAAGGCATGCCTCAGCACGCGCCCCTCGTCTCAGGCAGCAGGGCCAGGACGGGTGCTGGAAGACGGGGGGTCTTCGGAGGTGCTTGGGATCGTGCCCCAGGCGACCCGCGAGCACCTCGGGCGGCCGCTCTCTTGCTGCTGGGGGGAGGCGCACCGAGGCACAGAACTCCCTCACCGAGGGCACGAGGCGAGGAGGAGGAGGAGCGAGGAGCGAGGAGGAGGAGCGAGGAGGAGGAGGAGGAGCGAGGAGGAGGAGGAGGAGGAGGAGGAGGAGGAGGAGGAGGAGGAGGAGGAGGAGGAGGAGGAGGAGGAGGAGGAGGAGGAGGAGGAGGAGGAGGAGGAGGAGGAGGAGGAGGAGGAGGAGCGAGGAGGAGCGAGGAGGCGCGAGGAGGAGCGAGGAGGAGAGGGAGGACGAGGAGGAGGAGGAGGAGGAGAGGAGGAGGAGGAGGAGGAGGAGGAGGAGGAGGAGGAGGAGGAGAGGAGCGAGGAGGAGGAGCGAGGAGGAGGAGGAGGAGGAGGAGGAGGAGGAGGAGGAGGAGGAGGAGGAGGAGGAGGAGGAGGAGCGGAGGAGGAGGAGGAGGAGGAGGAGAGGAGGAGGAGGAGGAGAGGAGGAGGGAGGAGGAGGAGGAGGAGGAGGAGGAGGAGGAGGAGGAGGGAGGGAGGGAGGGAGAGGAGGGAGGGAGGGAGGGAGGGAGGGGGAGGGAGGGGGGAGGGAGGGAGGGAGGGAGGGAGGGAGGGAGGGAGGGAGGGAGGGAGGGAGGGAGGGAGGGAGGGAGGGAGGGAGGGAGGGAGGAGGAGGAGGAGCAGGTGAGGTCTGATCTTCACCTGGAGGCCTCGGGTCGCCCGCAGGGGCGCGAAGGCAGCCGCGCTTCTCGCTTCGAGGGCTGGGTCGGAGTGCGGTCCTCCTCCACGGGCGGTGGGGAGGCACGAGCACAATCGCGCCTTTCGCTCCTTACAGTGGAGGCCCATGCCAAGAAACATCCTGCTCGCCTCCATGGTGCCCCGGGTTTCTTTGGTTTCGATGGTTTTGCTGTGGAAGGCGAGACGATACCACGCCAAAAATCGATGGACGTCCTGGGGCCTCAGGGTTGGGTTTCTTGCGGATTTTTTCTTGTGGACTGGCCTCCACTGTACCTAGCGCGAAGCGCGAACTTCCGGGCCTTCTGTCCAGGGCCTTCGCTTTGAGGCTGTCTGGGTAATAAAGCGCTTGGAGTCTCAAGAGGACTTGGAGTGCAAGGGTTGGGGAACGTTGCCCTTGGCGTGTAGCTCGGACATTGTTGTTGGAGGCGCCCTCATGCACTTGTCAATTGCGAAGCATGATGGAGTGGATGAGAATTATTGATGCTTGCATTATGCACCCCCGGTTTCATCATGGAGTCCGAGTTGTTGCCAGTGGCAGTGTGACATTTCTTGAAACAGAACAGCCGCCAGCGCGAAGCAGACACCTCCGTGAGGCAGATGGTATAGGTATGGATGTCCAGGTAGCGCCGTGCGATTGGTGAACGGCAAGCCGATTGACCACATCGGCACACGCGCAGTCACTGACCACTGGCCAGGCAAGGCGACTGCGCGAACATGTGCTGGGCGTCGAAAACACACAGGTTGGACAACCAGAGCCCGCTCTCCTCGCCGACAGCTGGAAGCATGTAGGACAAGAGTGCTCTCAGCAGATACGTTCCAGCTACGTGTGCAACAGCAGCGAAGCAACACGAGCACAGGAGGTCCATGGGGGAGAACTTGTTTGTCACCACGCCAGGGCTTAACTAATCTGGCAAGAGCCAGCAACGGGGCTTCTCCCAGACACCCCAGCCAGGGCTGCTTGCCGGGCCACAGGCGACAATGTCTTGTGGACGCCAAGGTTCCAAGAGAGGGAGGAGGAGGTGATGATGATAATGAGGAGGAGGAGGAGGAGGAGGAGGACAAGGTGTAAGGATGGGAGAAGGGAGCAGGAGGTAACCGAAAGGCCTCATTGGACAGGTTCGATTTGATCTGATCCTCCCTCCTTGTCCTCCCTTGTCGCGACGTCCTCCACCTCCTTGCGTCGAAGAAGAACAAAAACGCCACAAGCATAAACTTTAGCGCTCCGCGCGGATCTCTTGGATCCGCGCTGGGCCTCCCCGGCGCCGCCCCTGGCGCGTTCCGCGCGCCAGGGGGGGGGGTCCAGCACACATCCAAGAAGTCCGAGCGGAGCTCCAAAAGTTTATGTCTATGCCGTTTTGTTGTTCCTCTGTTGTGGTCTTTCCGAGGGGGAGCTGCTCTTAGCATTAGGTCGGGCATGTCCCCCTACAGGCGGCTTTTGAGCGAACAGTGAAACATACACCAAAAATGTTCAAAAATGATCAAAAAATATTCAGAATGTGTCACCCGACTATTTTTTAACCATTTTTGAATATTTCTCCTGTAGAGGGACACGCCCGACTGAATCTCAGCACTGCCTCCAGCTTCGGGGGCACCGCCCTTCGGCGGGAGGGGGGGGGCTGCCTGGGATTTTCGCTCCAGCACCGATAACGCACTGTCTCGGGGGACGCTCCTTGTACGGCGGCCCCATAATCGGTCGATGTTAAACGATCCAACGTTTTGGAAACGGCCGATCGTTCAACGTTGAAGTGCTCCCGCGATGTCAGGAACCGGCGCCGAGGTCGGCACGGCACGAACTTGCCGTACCAGGATCAAGGAGGATCGAGTTTCTAGGATCGCGGATTTTGTGTTTTCATTCTTTTCTTGGCTCGTCATTTTTCGCTGTATTTTTGTTTAGCCTCAGAGGCCTGTGGGGAGACCTCCAGAGGCCTCCCGGGAGGCTTCTGGGGACCTCTGGGGACTTCGGAGACCTCCAGGGGACCGAGACCTCCAGCACCGTGAAAACAGTTGCTCAGGATTCCGTTTCTGGGCCCATGGACAGGCCAACATGACGCAGGATGAGAAGTTTGTCCCAGGGCTGGACCTAAACGCTGTTTTGCTGGACCTCTGATGTGTTTTGTTCTTCGTTTTGGTAGGGAGGTACAGGGAGACAGGTAGAGCATAATGAAAAACAGTCCTGGTTTGTCCCAGGAAGGAGGTCGAGAGTTCCAGGGACGGCGACGCGAACACGTAGAAGGGGCGAAGGTCCGTGTCATGTTTTTTTTCCTGTCTGGGCTTCGAGGAGCCCCCTCGTTGCCGCTGGTGAGCGCGGCTTGGGAAACGGGGCCCCAGGAGGGATCCACGGATCGGCTCTGAGCGGGGTCGTGCCAGGGTGCATTTTTTTTTGTTTTCGCGGGCTTTAGGCTAGGGCAAGGATGGGCCAGGTCAATTTTGGGCGAAGGATTGTGGACGGGAGGGCGTCTAGTTACGCAGATTTCTGGCCCAGTGCAAGTGTACGTGTTGCTTGCTCCTGCCCTATGGTCACAAGGAGAGTACAACGAACCGTATGCCTTCTCCAGAGGTTTTTGACTTGAAGCACTGGAACTGGAAGTTTCCAATATCATGCATTGTCACAGTCTCGTTTATGTGGGTGCCGTTCCTCTTTCCCTCCGTTCGAGTGCACCATGGCCCGATCCCTCCGATTGTGTGTCTAGCCATGTTCGCCATTTTTTCTTGATTCTGCTCCGCAGTGCCCGTGCTGTCTTCCTTCTACAACGCCCCTTCGTCGGAGCAGGCTTCGGCCAGGCGTGGGTGTAAGCAACTCCCGAGAAGAGCTGTCCTTCAGGCGGTCCGCTTCGGTGGGTCGCAGATTCTCAGCCCAAGATGTCCAAGCGCATGGCCCTGCGACTGCTCTCGTCCGCGGCATGGACCATCTTCTGGCGGCTGCTGTGCCTAGCTCTCTGCGAGCGCTTCGCTGTGACTGATAATTGCCTTCGGGGACCTCGCATGGCCTGTCGTTGGCCTCGCATTGCCTGCAGCCCCCTTGGGGGTTCAGGACCCGAGGGCGCTCTGGCACCCCCTTGTCGCTCCGGCGCCGCACCCGCAGCACCCTGGACGGTGCCCACGTGCGTGCGTGTTTCACGCTTCGTGCCTCACTCAGGAGGGGATAAAGCACACAGACACAAGCATCGTCGATCCCGAGGAAAATATGGAATTATCCTGGCGAAGGACCCAACCATGTGCAGTTGTGAGTATCGCAATTGTGAGTATTTTCTTCGGTGGCGCTCCCTATGGGGCCACGAACCGCATGAGGGGTGTGCCGAAATGTGGCGGGGTACACAACGCAATGGAATACGATAGATATGATTACGACAGAAAGAACGCGGGTGAGTCAGAGCGCGAGGGAATCTGAGTATGAATGGGTCTGCGCGCGAATGAATATATTTGCATGAATGCGATCATGGAAACGCCTAGTGTAAGTGTATATGAATGTGAATGGTTCGAGCATGCCTGTCCGAACACACGTGACACTGGGCGTGGCCGCCGCAGGCAGCTTCCGCGGGAACCCCGACGGCAGCGTCCGCACGTCGCGACGCCCATGTCGGCACGCCTCTTGCGAGGATCGCGCCCGCTTTCGGCTCTTCTTTTCCTTCCTCTTTGCCCGCGCACTCCAAAATCCAAGGCTGCGGGCGCAGCGCAGCGCGGAGTCCCCGCGACGCGCGCTGGTCGCCCCGGGCGGGGCCCCAGCGACGCGCGCGGGTCGTCCGCTGCGCGAAGCAGAGAGAGCTGACTAGCTAACTGGCTGGCTGATAGCGGGCAAGTCTCTGACCGCTGGGCAGAGCGACGACGGGCGAACGAGGCGCCGGGCCCCCCGCAGCACGGAGTTCCCGCGACGCGCGCTGGTCGCCCCGAGAGGGTCCCAGCGACGCGCGCGGGTCGTCCGCGGCGCGAGGCCAAACAATTAGTCGGGCAGTCGAGAGAAGGCGCAGCTCGGGGGAGACGCTCCTCAGGTCAGGCCTCGCGGATGAACTCGGTGAAGCCGAGCTCCCTGGCGAGGGCCGTCGCTTCCCTCCTGCACCGCTTCGTGCGCGCAGCAAACTGCTCCAGCTGCTTCCGCAAGCCCTGCGGCGGCCCTGCCAGGAAGAACTCGATGCGCGGCGCCCGCATGAGCAGGAGGTCCTCGTGGCGCGTGGCGCGCGAGAGCAGCACGTAGAGCTCCAGCCACCAGTCGTCGTCCTCCTTCTTGCCGTTCCCTACCTCGTG